GGCGAAATAGAGTGGACCTGCAAGATTAAGACTCCAACATCAAATCAGTGAAATATTAGAAAACATTTTAGTGAGAGTGAAAGAGACACTAAAAATTGACGGGTGTGGAGCTTAGATAAGGTGACTGACGGGTGTGGAGCTTAGATAAGGTGTGTGACTAAAATCACTCCTGACCAACTCAACACGTTTATGTGGATCGTCATTTGATTATATCAGACGATGCGAGAGGTACTGAAAGCTAGGATCGCACACTTCGTGCTTTGTTAAGATTTCTCGCATTTCTTCGCTTATAATATATGCCTTTTGTATTAAACCTCGTAATTAGGCCTCTATTTTTTAATCTTACAAACGGCCCGAAACAACTTTAATCCAGTTATTATTAAAAAAAACTTAAAAATCCATCGAGTCCCTTAAATTCTTAACAATCCATAAAATATTTTATAATTTAAAAACACGGACTCATTAAGCATTTTAATATGCTAAAAAGTAAAAACCGTGAATACCCACATATATTGGCCCAACAAATCAATTTAAGAAAATATTTTTCTTGCTATCTTTTAGAGTTTATTTTATTAGTAAACTTTTTCTTTTATAGGAAAAACTTACACTATTTTTCAATTATATTGAATTTAACTAAACCTATACTACTACTTTAAGTTTATTATTAGACCTTGTAAAAAAAAAATTTATTATTAGACTGCCACCCGTTAGAAGCATTAACTGCATGGTCCGTTTTCCCGCCCTACTTATAACCTTAATTGCCATATCTTATTGTTACAAACACAGAAGTTACCATTGAATTAATTTGATACGGACCAAAATTTGATTTTTATTAAAGGCTTAATAGATATGTAATGACATTACCATTAAATAATAAATTATCAGTTTATCATTTCATTAAAAAAATTTAAAAATAAAAAGGTGATATACATTATCATGATTGATACCCATTTTCTCTTTATTCAATAGTTTCTCGAAATTTTTTTTAAAAATAATTAAAGTAGAAATTTGCAAAAATAAGAGCAGGTTTGAGCACAAGCATCTTAATATCAACTTCAGTCTATACATACACAACATATATTTATATATTATAACATTTATTATTAAATAAAAAATATATTTATAAATTTTAAAAGATATATTATTATTAAATTATTATACATTTTGATAACAATATTTATTTAATGAAAAAATGTGTTAAAAAATATTAATTTTAAATTGTTATATATTTTGATAATAATATTTATTTAATAGGAAAATGTGTAAAAATATATTATAAAAACAAGAAAGATGAAAATTAAATTTCAACCATTCATTATTACTATTATCTTATGATTCTTATTAAAAAGGAAATTAAATTTAAAATAATTATCTAAAACAATAATAAATACACATTTTCTCTTTTTTTATTCAAATAATTCTTACAATATAATATTATTTTATATTTATATATTATAACTTTTATTATTAAATAAAAAATATATTTATAAATTTAAAAAAATGTATTATTATTAAATTATTATACATTTTGGTAACAATATTTATTTCATGATTCAACCTAAAATTTTTGAAATTTTTTAAGGCTATTAAATATTTAAAATCATATGAAATTTTTATATTTGATTGATTTAATTTTATTAAAAATACGAGTAATTAGTGTCAGTAATTAGATACTCATAATACACAAATACAAGTTTGAATATTGGTGTCCCCATAAATATTTAAGTATCAGATGGATTGATCCGTACTTTGCCCAATCCTATTCATTATCATTTCTATTTGATATTAAATTTGATTTTCACTCTTCATCTTCATTTTGTTTGTTTTTATATATACTCCTAATTGATTAGTTAAGTTTTAACTTTATCCATTTTAAGGCCAACAACTAAACAACCCCAATTGCTATAAATTGTTCTTCAAAGCACTAATCTAAATCTCACTCACCCTCCCCTTATCATGAATAGCAAAATCCCAATTTTTTTTCTTACATTATTATTACCCTCTCTTATGACTACGCAGAATAACATCAATATTTATGAAGTTCAAGTAAAACATTCATAATTCTATCTTCTCCAATCATTTTCATTTGCATTATTTCTAAAGTTTTGTTTTTGTATCATAATTAATGTACCAGCTGTGAGCACCATTCTGAATAATCAAACAAACTGCACAAAATGGTCCCAATTTGGATTTGTGCTACCCTCCAAAACCAAGCTTAATACTTTTATTTTTTTCTTCCTTCACCACAAAAAATATAAATTTAACACTGTTATCGTTCTAAGGCTGTGTTCGAATCACAACTTCTCTAGTTAAATTCGAACACACAATTCCTGAATAAATTTAAAGAAATTTTGTAATCATCTCCTAGATTTTATAGCTCTTTCAAATAAGTTTTTTTATTTTATGAATATTTGTAAAATAAAATTAATATGTGAGTTGTAGCATCCTAATCAAACGGTGTAAATTGTTTCACTGACTGTTTCTATAACTTCACACACTCCCATAAAGTTCTACTAGTATACAAAATTGAAAACCACAACCACCACAAAAACACACAAAACCCTATCAAATTCTCTTGCATTAAGAAAAACACAACAAATTTTTTATCGTAAAGTTTAAAGATTTTCACAAACAGAACCATGAAACGCAGATTTCTCGACACAGAGATGAGTATTCCACCATCATACCAAAACAACACAAGCGATTCATTCATCAACGCAGAGAATTTCGATACAAACATGGTGATTATACTAGCAGCACTACTATGCGCATTAATCTGTGCTTTAGGGCTGAACACCATAGCTCGGTGTGCCATGCGATGTAGCAGAAGATTCTCGGAAGAAACACCGGCACAAACAACAGCAAGGTTGAACAAAACAGGTCTGAAAAAGTGTGAGCTGAGTCAAATTCCGGTAGCTGTTTACGGTACCGGAGAGAATATTCCGGCGACGGAGTGTCCCATTTGTCTTGGAGAATTCGAGAAAGAAGACAAAGTTCGAATGCTGCCAAAGTGTAACCACGGGTTTCATGTTAGGTGTATTGACACGTGGTTGGTGTCGCATTCTTCTTGTCCTAATTGTCGAAATTCACTGCTTGAGAAAGAATCGAAGAGTGTTTGTTCTTCTTCTACCGAGGTTGCCGGAGATGGGTTGCCGGAAAATGGTACGGTGGTTGTTGAGATGCAGGGAAGTTGAACTGAAAAGGTACATGTGAAAGGAGATGATGAGGTTTTGGTGTACGGTAGTTGTGGAATTTAATGTTAGTAGTTAGTAGTAGTAATCAGTTAGTTCATGAATATTATTATGTGACCAACCTTATTTTTTTTAATAAAAAAAATATTGTGTTTGTGTTGCAGACATAGCATTGTGTATTTTGTAGGGATAGGGATACAAATAATCTCCATCTATCATTTCAGTTTTTTAATTTGTTCACTACTTTTAACCATCAAGTTTTGTGGAAAAAAATTTAACTGTCAATTAACTTTATATCTCTCTTGATGTTGATATCCTAATATTCAGAAATTGATTTTTTAGTGGTTTTTTTAGGAATCTTCTTCATATATACTTTTACATTACTATATAGATGTTTGTTTTAATATTGATTTTTTTTACCAATTATGTTTGTATGGGTTAGAAAGTGGTAATACAACAAAATAGCTTTACATAGCAATGTGAATATTTAAAATAAAGTGAAAAGTCAAGTTCTTATCCAAAATAACATGAATATCGAATCAATATGTTTTTTTTATAAGTAAAATTTATTATTAAGAGTATAAGGAGTACTCAAACTCATAAAAAAAAAACTTAATCAAACTTTAGAAAATTTAAAGGTGAGTGTAACCAATTATATATAGTGGTACAACCCGTTTCTTTATTGTTAATGGTGTGCCACAATCAAACCGCAACTTTGATATTCATGATTAAATCAACAAGTACACACACTTCTCTTTTAAATATGATATTGTTTCTACACATCCATAAGGACTACACTGTAGCCAATCATATTGAACAAAGTTTCTTCTTCTTTATCTTCTCCACTAAAGCTTGAGTGAACCAACGTAATCTTCCGTATCTAACCAACTATAGATGTTAATCCAAACTTTTTGGTTAATTTTGCATTTGAACATAAGATGTTCTAAATCTTCAACCTTTTCATCACAGAATACACATACCTCATCGTGTTCGTTTCGAATTATCCCCCTTTTCACCAATTGATCTTTCGTGGAAAGTCTATTGAGCACCACCCTCCATCCGAACACCTTCAATCTTGATGGAATATTAGTCTTCCAAATCCTCTTTAAGTGCTAGCTTCGGTTGAGTGTCCACAACCTCTTTCATATCACGGTCTCAAATTAAGTTGTAACAACTTTTTACACTAAAAATACCGTCTTGATTCGGCCACCATTTTAACTTATTTGTCGTGTCCGTAGTGGGGATGAGATTTGTTAACAACTCAATTAGGCTAAAAGCTTTCTAAACTGCAACCGGATCCTCGGTCGGGCAACACATCTGCGTCAACGTGCAAATTCCACGACCATCTACGGTCTTTCCAAGCTCCAATCTCACAAACCTTTCCCATTGGTTTTCCAGAAATTCTAAACAGATTTGAGAAAAGATTTTTGAGAGGTTTCTCCCCAATCCACCTACTGTGCCAGAAAAAAAATATTGTCACCTGCGCCTAATTTAGCCAATAAGCCACCTGCAAAACAGTCAAAGTTAGTTTTAAGGGTGCTGGCAGAGATCACATCATTCCACCATGCTAAAAAAATTTTAGTCTTCTTATAAGTGTTGCAAATCCCCATATCTAGCATTCAATATTTGTTTCCAAGTGGTTTCTTCTTCATCCAAAATTCTCCACTTCCATTTACATAATAATGCTTTGTTAAAGTATCCTATGTGCCTTATACCGAGTCCTCCTTCTTCTTTGGACCTGCATATGTTGTTCCAACTCACCCAACTAATGCATTGTTTGTCTTCCTTACCACACTAGAGAAATTTGCTCTAAATTTTGATTATCTCGTATATGATATTAACTGGAGCCTTGAATAAGGACATATTGTAAATTGGGATGCTTGAGAGTATCGAGTACAACAGTGTTACCCTTCCACCAATTGATAAGAGACGAGCTTTCCAAGTTGACAATTTTTTCTTCAGATTATCCAGCATCGGATTCGAAGAGGCGCATCTTCTAGGATTTGATCCAACATGTATCCCTAGTAATTTGAAAGGCAAGTTATCTTTGCAACAACAAAGAAAATGGGATGCGGTTTCCATAAAGCTCTCTTCCACGTTCACCCCATATATTTTACTTTTATAGAAATTAACCTTAACACCCGAAACTAGTTTGAACCCCCTGAAAATGGCCTTAATGCTCCATAAGTTATTCTAACACCCATTCCTAACCAGAACCGTATCATCTGCGAACTACAATAGCTTAATTTCTAATTCGCCATTCACCTTATAACCCTCAAACCTACCCTCATCAGCGGCTTTTTAAACTAGAGTTGCCAACCCTTCTTCCACTAAAGTGAATAAAAATGGTGATAACGAGTCTTCTTGTCGCAAGCCCCTCTCCACCAAAAAATATTTAGTTGGGCTCCCATTTACTAGGATTGACATTGATTTGTTGAAGATGCACGCTTCCATCCATCTACACCATAAGTTTCCAAAGCCAAATTTTTTTAACATACATCTCTTGAAGTTCCAATTGCGAGCATTTTGGGCAGAACTTTATACATACAACTAACTAAGCAAATAGGACGATATTCTTTGAGGCCCTGAGGATTAGGATTTTTCAGAATTAACGGTATAAAGGATGTTGTTATAGCTTTAGGAAGAGAAGCATTAAAATGAAACTCCTTTAAAAACTTAGCAACATCATCTTTAAGTAATTACCATGATTCTTGAAGAAACCTTGAATTAATTCCATCGGGTCCAAGACTTTTTTTGCCATCGGAATCCCACACCGCAACTCTTATCTCTTCGCTCGAGAATTCAGCCTCCAAAAGCAATTTCTTCCTTTCTAAAATTTGATTGAACCTCAGCCCTTCAAACACTGGTCTTTCCTTACACTCCTCCATAAATCTACTACAGAACACATTGGAATTTCTTCCCTATTACCTATAACATCTTCAATGCATTCCCCCTTACTATTTTGTTCAATGACCAGCCCACCTCCTTACTCCCCCACAAACTCCCCACAATATCTTCATTCATGTTTTGCACTTTGGTTTCTTGGATGAAAACCAAGTTCTCCTGACCCTTCTTAATGATTTGACTCAACCTTCTTCACTTAGAAGAAATGCCACATCCTCTAATCTTTAGTGATACTATATTCATCACAAGTGTGTTTTTTCCCTTCCTGGACTTTAACCCTTCTGCATCCCGCACCTCCATGCCCCTAATTGCCTCCACAAATTTACCATCCCTCACGCCTTCTGAAATTCCCAATTGGATGATTTCCTCCCAAACCTTTACAACCAAATCCGTTTCCATATTTTCCTTTGTACGCCCACCTCTCTGAGATAAATAGTGTTTGTTGAAGAATTGCTGCATATAACTGTTCCTTCTGAGGATTGTGTAGATTGATACTGAATTTGTCGTATCAACCTTGCTGCAAGATGTCCCTTTTGGTTTTGGAAGGCTAAGGATCGAGAAGAAAGATTTTGAAATATGAAAATAAAGGGGATCGCTGGGTAAGGTGTCGCCAACTTCAGTGTTGATAGTCTTAGGTTCATTGAGTGCCACAATATCCCTCGCTTCTATCCCAGTACTTTGGGCTATGTTGTTTCACAACTGTTGGGCTTTGGATTTTTATTTTTTCTTTTGGTCCAGTATCCCACCCCAACATCTGAAAGAGCTTTTGGGCCCACAGATGTAGCTTTGCCAAAATCTCAGTCACTTAAAAGTAAATCTTCTGACCCTCCAAAAAGTAGACTTTTGGTAATGCTGATATTTCTCTGTGAACTTAAGACAGTTAACCTCTGTAACCTTCTTTTCCTTTTCCAATGTCTTTTCGAAACATCCCATCACACCCCTGTTGTGCCGCTTGCACCTTTTGCAGAGCATTTAATGTTTCTTCCTTCTGCTTACTTAATTCATCACTCTTTTTGAAAGTATCGGTTTTTTACTGTTGGACAAAGGAGTTTCCTTGGACCTCAACATTTGTGTTGTAGTTCCAGTCACCACCTTCATCCTCAGAGTTATGCCAACATTCGATTTTCTCGGACGAAGTAGTTCCGGTGCTCTTTGTTGCAATTCTCATGGAGCCATGAGAATCCTCTACAACCTTGATCCTAATGTTAAAATTAATGTATTGTAACCATCACTATCTTTAGGAAGCATTACGAGAGAATAGTAACCATCACATTATAATGATTGTCTTTATTTAGATTTATGGTAGAGTTGTATCATTAAAATTGAGAGAACCAAAGAGTCCTCATCTTGATTAGCAACCTATTTGTATTCTCTATCAGTTTCATTCAAGCCTATGTAAAGGCTTTGTAATGCTAAAATTAATAGTAATAAGTGTTTGGTGAATTAAAAAAAAAAGAAGCAGAGTTTTTCAATGGTCATCCACCAGTAGAAGTATAGTACAAAAAGTGACGAAAAGTAGTTTTCTCTGCAGAATCATGCAACACTATAATTTTTAACATACCACCTCTAGAATGCCGCCAACAGAGTGGTATCAGAGCTGCAGATCCTTGTAGCTGCAGCAAAAATAACAACAGTTATGGCTTCCACAAACAACCCTTCTGTAACTTACAGCAATATCAAAGTTCCTCTATTTGAAGGAGAGAACTATGATTTTTGGACTGTTAAAATGGAGACTCTATTCACATCTTTGGATGTTCTAGAGTATGTCAAAAACGGCTATGAAGAACCGGCGCCAACAGAGGCTGAAAAATCAAAAGAAAAGGGTGAAGAATCAAGCCAACGGCTTGAAGAATTGAAGAAGAAGAAGATCACAGATGCTGGAGTTCTCAGGATGATTTAAAGAGGGGTCTCTCTATCCATCTTCCCAAGGATTATGATAGCTAAAACATCGAAAGAAGCTTGGAGTATCCTACAAAAAGAGTTCGAATGAGACTCAAAGGTGCAAACGATGAATCTTCAATCTCTTAAGAGAGATTATGAAAATGAAAGGATGAAGGAGAATGAGAGCCTGAACGAATACTTCAACAGACTCTCCGAGTTGGTGAATCAGATGAAGTCACATGGTGATACGATAGAAGATCGCAGAATTGTTGACAAAATTCTGATCAGTTTGACAACAAGATTTGACCTAATGGTGGTGGTAATAGAAGAAACCAAGGATCTATCAACCTTGATTGTTCAAGGGTTGATGGGGTCTTTGAGATCCTACGAGCAAAGGATGTTACGACATTCTGAAAAATCAATTGAGAGTGCCTTTCAATCTAAACTCAACATTCGGCCCAACAATGGTGAAAATAAGCCCCAAATACAAACTAGAGGTGAGTCTTCTAAAGGTGGCAGATTTGGAAGAGGCAGAGGCAGAGGTCGAAACTCACGTGGCAGATCTGGAAGAAGCGCAAATGGCGGAAGATGGAATGGAGCATCAAACAGATGGTGCAAAATTTGTAACAGCAGTACTCATGACGAGAAGGATTATTGGAACAAAGGTAAACTGTAATGCCACAATTGCAAGATATTCGGGCACCTTCAAAAGGATTGTCGTCTTGCAAATCAACAACATGCTTCGTACGCAGAAGGAGAATCTGATGAAGGAATTTTATTTTTTGCTTGTCAAAAAGCATTGCATGAAGAAGGTAAAAATGTATGGTATTTGGACAGTGGTTGTAGCAATCATATGACCGGACAGAAGGAAGCATTTATAAACATTGATTCTTCATTTGGCTCAAAAGTTAAATTGGGCAATGGAGAACATGTCGTAGTGAAAGGGAAAGGAAGCATTGGAGTCACCACAAAGCAAGGAAGCAAAGTCATACATGACACGCTCTATGTACCGGAATTAGATGAAATTTTGCTTAGCATTAGACAACTTCTGGAGCACGATTATTCTCTAAACTTTGAGAATAACGAGTGCATAATTTTTGACTCAAAGAAGAAGTGTTGCCGTTGTGAATATGACTAGCAACAGGAGCTTTCCACTATCTTTTAACCATGAGAAAAATGTAAGCATGATGGCCAGAGAAGAGAATGACTCGTGTTTATGGCACAGGAGACTTGGCAATTTGAATTACGAAAGCCTCAAGTTACTCTATCAAAAGAACATGGTGTATGGGATGCCAAGAATCGAAGAAAAATCTGGTGTGTGCGAAGGTTGTGTGCTTGGCAAACACCACCGGCAACCATTTCCAAAGGAAGGTGCATGGAGAGCTAAACAAGTGTTGGAACTTGTACACACAGATGTGTGTGGCCCTATGAATACTTTGTCTTATGGCAAAAATAGGTACTTTATCTTGTTTATTGACGACTTTACCCGCATGACTTGGGTATATTTCATGAGACAAAAATCTGAAGCGTTTGTAATCTTTAAGAAATTTAAAGCATTAATCGAAAAATAAAGTGGCGGATTTATAAAGATGCTGAGAAGTGATCGAGGGAAGGAGTACACCTCAAATGAATTTCATAAATTTTATGAAGATGAAGGTGTTGAAAGACAGCTCATTGTTGGATATACACCTCAGCAAAATGGTGTATCTGAAAGAAAGAACCAAACCGTGATGGAGATGGCAAAGTCTATGCTACTTGTGAAAGGTTTGCCTAAAACCTTTTGGCCCGAGGCCGTTAACACTGTTGTGTATTTGATGAACAGGTGTCCAACAAAGGTCGTGTGGAAAAAGACTCCATTTGAAGCCTGGAGTGGAAGAACATCGTCGGTGAACAATCTTAAAATTTTTGGGTGTGTTTGCTATGCTCAAATTCCTAAACAAAAGAGGATAAAGCTAGAAGAAACAAGTGAAAGATGTATCTTTATTGGCTATAGTTCCATGTCAAAGGGTTATAAACTTTACAACTTGAAGACAAACAAGGTGATCATTAACCGGGATGTTGTATTTGATGAGAACGCTTCTTGGAATTGGGAAGAAGACAAAACGAAGGAGAAAACAGTCCCTGCAATCATATTACAACAATAAAACCCAACAACTGATAATGAGCAACCAACTCCATGTACACCAAGTTCCTCATCCTCTCCAAGTTCACAAATTTCAAGTTCATCAGCTCCCAGCTCAACTCCAATAAAATTGAAGGACTTGAGTGATATTTATGCAAGATGCAACTATTGTGTTGTGGAACCAGAAAATTTTGATGAAGCAATCAAAGAAGATGCTTGGAGGAATGCGATGCAAGAAGAAATAAATGCCATTGAGAAAAACAAAACATGGCAGTTAGTTGAAAAGCCAAACGACAAAGAAGCCATTGGAGTAAAGTGGGTCTACAAATTGAAGCATAATCCAGATGGATCAATTCAAAGAGCCAAGGCTAGATTGGTAGTAAAAGGCTATGCACAACAGCCTGGAATTGACTATAGTGAAACTTTTGCCCCAGTTGCAAGATTGGATAATGTACGAACAGTTATTGCATTAGTAGCTCAGAAAGGGTGGAACCTGTACCAACTTGATGTGAAGTCAGCTTTCCTGAATGGAAAATTAAAAGAAGAGGTATATGTACAGCAACCTCAAGGCTTTGTGACTAAAGGCCAAGAGGAAAAATTTTACAAGTTGAAGAAAGCTCTCTATGGGTTGAAACAAGCCCCAAGAGCATGGTATAGTGAAATTGACAGCTACTTCATTCAACAAGGATTTGAAAGAAGTCAAAGTGAGCATACCTTGTATGTGAAGCATCAAGGTAAAGATGATATCCTTCTTGTTGTCCTTTATGTTGATGATTTGGTGTATACGGGTAACAACAAGAAAATGGTTGAAAATTTTAAAATAGAAATGATGAAAAAATATGAGATGAGTGATCTTGGCTTGCTGCATCATTTTCTTGGTATTGAGGTTTACCAAGATGAATATGGAGTTTTTATTTGTCAAAAGAGGTATGCTGAAAATATTTTGAAAAAGTTTGGCATGAATGGCTGCAAACCTGTTGATATTCCTTTATTGGTGAATGAAAAATTAAAGAAGGAAGATGGTGGAAGATTAGTAGATGCAAGTATGTATAGAAGTTTGGTTGGAAGCTTGTTTTATCTTACAGCTTCAAGGCCCGATTTAATGTTTGCTGCTAGTTTACTCTCAAGGTTTATGAGTAAACCGAGTCACTTACACCTTGGAGCAGCAAAAAGAGTTCTAAGGTATGTCATGGGAACCATGGAACATGGAATCAGGTTTGAAAAGAATTTTAAACTCGAAGTTACAGGCTACTGTGACAGTGATTGGGCTGGAAGTGTTGATGACATGAAAAGCACTTCCGGTTATGTGTTCAGCCTGGGTTCAGGAGTAATTTCTTGGTGTTCGAAGAAACAAGATACTGTAGCGCAATCTTCAGCTGAAGCAGAATATTTGGCAGCTGGTTTGGCTACACAATAATCATTGTGGTTGAGAAGAATACGTGAAGGTATCGAAGAAAAGCAAGAAGAAAGTTTGTTGCTTCACTGTGACAATAAATCAGCAATAGCCATGGCGAAGAATCCAGTTTTCCACCGTCGAACAAGACATATTAATATAAAGCACCACTTTATTCGAAGTGTGATCAAAGATGGTGATGTGCAGTTAGTGTTCTGCAATTCACAAGAGCAGCTTGCAGACATTTTTACTAAAGCACTACCAAGAGGAAGATTTCAGCAACTTAGAGAAGCAATGGGAGTTAAAGAGCAACACATTAAGGGGGAGTGTTAAAATTAATGTGTTGTAACCACCACTATCTTTAGGAAGCATTATGAGAGAATAGTAACCATCACATTATAATGATTGTCTTTATTTATATTTATGGTAGAGTTGTATCATTAAAATTGAGAGAATCAAAGAGTCCTCATCTTGATTAGCAACCTATTTGTATTCTCTATCAGTTTCATTCAAACCTATATAAATGCTTTGTAATGCTAAGATTAATAGTAATAAGTGTTTGGTGAATTAAAAAAAAGAAGCAGAATTTTTCAATGGTCATCCACCAGTAGAAGTATAGTACAAAAAGTGACGAAAAGTAGTTTTCTCTGCAGAATCCTGCAACACTATAATTTTTAACATACCACCTCTAGAATACCGCCAACACCTAAAGACGTTCCCGTTGATTGAGATATTGTATGTCTCATTAAGCACCGTACAATATATTAAGCAC